TCGAGTCCCGCATCGGGCTCCCTGCTCCTTGGGAGCCTGCTTCTCCCTCTGCTTCTCTCTCTCTCCTCCTCTGTCTCTCATGAATAAATAAATAAATAAATCTTTAAAAAAAAAAAAAAACAAAACGAACAAGTAACAGTCAGTTTTACAAGAATATAGTACAGAAAGTAGAAGAACTTCCTTGTTAAGTATTGAATTTTCAAAATCACTTGTGGTAGCTACATCCAGAGCAGATAGGCCTCCTGGGTGCAGGTTAGAAATCTTACTCAGCATTTGCTGAATGCACTGCCCAGTCGTTGTGTCCAGGAGAATGGGGAGTTCTCCTCACCCTGGCACATCCTTGACTTTTTTCCAACTCTACTGAGGCGTGGTTGGCAAAATTTTAAGATACTTAAAGGGTACGCCATGATGATTTGATATATGTAAGCATTATGAAGGGATCTGTGCAGTCTCTTGTCACCTCACATACTACGTACCTGAGCTTTTACTGGGCACAGTGGGGCTGTATGATCGCGTTTCCTACCAAAATTTCATGGAGTTAGGGAAGGGGAGTATCCCAACAGAAAGGATGCTGGAGACACAGAGGCAAAAGGTAAAGCGAACAAACAGATACCCTTGTATATACCTTGGCATCAATGCTGTATTTCTCATGTGTTTTTATGATGGATTGCTGATTTTTGCAAATGAGCTGTTTTATTTCAGATTTAGATGAGTTTTAAGTGTACTTTGTTCTAGTGATAAATTTAGTGACTTAGCTTAATACTGATGTGCTATTTTAAGATAGAAAATCAAAGACGTGTGGTATATACTACAAAATAAAACCTGACTTAGAAGATTTACTTTTTATCATGTTTTGATTAAGTATCTACTTACCACTTAAGGAAATTTGGATTGTTATGTACTGTAAACAGTGAGCTTTTTCTGGATTGAGAGTGATGTGTATGTTTTGCTGTTTCAGATATGGATGTATCAGAACTTAATTAAACACAGCTCCCTGTTTGTCCAGCAGTTGGATGGATCTGAGCGACTTACATGTTTATTTCAAATAAAGAGGTTGATGAGCCTCTGTTGCAGGTAAATCCCATCGAGTCAGCAACTTCTCACAGGTGTGGAAAGTCTTGAGGAGCTCTTTGAAGGAGTTAAGAACTTTTAGCGAGATAACACTTCTCACGCTACATTTGTGGTCTCTGATTTTCCTCGTCTGTTTTTCCCTCTGTGATTGGCATTTCTCATCTGTACAAACCGGTATCAGCATGCTGTTGGGCACATAGTGAGTACTCCAAAGGAAGTGTGAGGTTATTGTCCTGTCTGTCCTCGAGTCATGCCTGTTTTCAGAGACCTCTAGTACTAGAACAGAGTGGCTCAAACACCATAGTGAAGGAGAGTTGTTTGCGGGAGTTTGGGATGACATTTGCCATCCAGTAAGTATGTGAATACTTTTTGTTTTGGTTTGTTTTTACAGGTTATTGCAAAACTGTAATGATGACAGTTTGAATGTTGCACTTCCAATGAGGATGCTTGAGGTGTTTTCATCTGAGAATACTTATTTGCCTGTTTTACAAGACGCTAGCTATGTGGTGTCCATCATTGAACAGATTTTGCACTACATGATTCAGAATGGTAGGTAGCAGATGGGGTTGGGGCTGTGCGTAGGCAGGCTGCTCTGTACACACGCTCTAAACACCAAGAGTGACTGTGACAGGGCACTACTGAGGGGAGCACCTGCTGGAGGCACGAGTGCTGACATTTGTCCTCAGCTCTCCCCACCCTAAACATCTGGAAATGTGGTCCACTCTAAATTTGCCTGTTGTTTGAAAACGAAGCAAATGCATGCTTCCAGAAACTGTTGTGGGTGCTTCGCTTACGCATATCTGCAGCAGCCGGTCCTCACGTCGCTGAGCCAGCGGCCGTGTCCCCAGTGGGAGGAGCAGTAAGTAGTGCTGCAAGTACGAGAGACAAGTCAGCGGGATAGCCAGTCTCAGTCAGAAGTAATCTCAGTCTTCACATCAGTTCAGCAGAGGAGAGGAAGAGATTGACTCGGAGTTTTCTTTCTGCCTGGGTGTTAAAGCTCTTTAACGCGTTGGCACTCTTCTGATAAGGTAAAATCTAGATCCGAAATTCCTCGGAGGACACATTAGTGACTCTGAAATACACAGGATTTCTAAAACTTTTATGATGAGTTAAGCTGTGTAAAACAAAAATTTAAAAATCTGACTCCCAGGGCCCCTGAGTGGCTCAGTCGTTAAGCGTCTGCCGTCGGCTCAGGTCATGGTCCCGTGGTCCTGGGATCGAGCCCCACATCGGGCTCCCTGCTCCACGGGAAGCCTGCTTCTCCTCTCCCACCCCCCTGCTTGTGTTCCCTCTCTCGCTGTCTCTCTCTGTCAAATAAATAAACAAAATCTTTAAAAATAAAAATAAAAATCTGACTCCCAGTAATCTCACAGCTAGGAAGTCAAACACTTCAGGGCTTGGACTCCAGAAGTATTAGCATTAAAAAATAGGTATGTTATTTGTTATAAGAGGGGCTATAGGTGATTCTGGAAGGCAGGAGTCACTGGTAAAACCATAAATAAGTTTCCATTTGTTTTCCAGAGGTGATGGACTAATGTAGGCTAAACCTAGCTAATTTAATCCTCAATACTAAAACTGTAAAAATTAAATTCGTATACATCTCAAGCTTAGCTTTTGGCTTAGGTTTAAAAAAAAGGGGGGTGGGTAGGCCTGGGTGGCTCAGTCGGTTAAGTGTGTGCCTTGGGCTCAGGTCACGGTCCCAGGATCCTGGGATCGAGCCCCACATCGGGCTCCCTGCTCAGCGGGGAGTCTGCTTCTCTGCCCCTCACATCACTGTGCTTTCTCTTTCTCTAATAAATAAATAAAATCTTAAAAAAAAAAAAAAGAAAACCTATTTAGTTTGTTGAAAAATTAGGGAGTCAACTAAAAGTAAATTGAAATTTGTGGGATTTGATCTTTTAAAAAAGAAACTAACAATAATTAGAAATCGTCCTTTGTATCAATTGATGCATTATTGTGTATATTGATTTAAGGCTGAGCAATCATGAGAATTTTTACTTTTCTTGTTTTCTAAAAGTGTAAAGAATGTAACTAAGAAATGCATTATTTTGAAATGTGTCTAGAAGTAGAGTGTCACAGTCTTGCGGTGAAACTGCCGCTTCTGGCACCTTCTGTGGGGACACGCAGTGATGCCATCAGGTGATGCCACAGCTCTGTGCGGTGCTCAGGGCTCCCCACAACAAGTGTGGCCCCTGTTTGTCCCCTGCACTGTTGCTGTTGACTCTACTCCCTGTGCTGTACTTTCATCTCCGTGACTTACTGATTTCACTGGAAGTTTGTTCCTCTTAATTCCATTCACCTGTTTCTTCCCGGCATTAGGAGTCTGAAATTTGGCAGTGTTTACTAATTATAGTCTGTGTGATTATACAATATGTGCTGTGACTTAACATGAAGCTTTTAACAAATGCAGCAGAACTTCATACTCTAGTCATGCTGTCAGGTAATCTGTTCAATACATACAGGGATTGATGTTGACATATTAATGGTATCTTTTTTTTTAAGATTTTATTTATTTATTTGACATAGAGCACAAGCAGGGGGAGCGGCAGGCAGGGGTGAAGCAGGCTCCCCGATGAGCAGGGAGCCCGATGTGGGACTCGATCCCAGGACCTTGAGATCATGACCCAAGCTGAGGGCAGATGCTTAAGGCGCCCCATAATATTTTTAAAATTTTCTTGATGTGTTTTTTAAAAATTCTTGATGTATTCCCTGTGCTGTGCTTTTTTTTTTTTTTTTCCTTAATCTCTGTGACTTACTGATTTTGTGGCTGGAGGTTTGCAGCTCTGCATCCCCTTCATCTGTGTCACCCACTTCCATCTTCTCAGTCTCACAGCAGAAGAGCGTCTCTGTTGAGTTTCACTAGTGATCAAAATACATGAGTTTGGAGTTGGAGTTACATAGTCGTGTGAAGACAGAGCACTGAGTAGTCAGGGCTTAGTGGTCATGCCTCAGGTACAGATTGTAGAGTCTGTCTGATCAGATGGGGGGCCCCAGTTGTGGGGCGCTGATTGGCTCAGTAGGGGTGAAAGCCGGCCCGGGCTGGTTGAAAGGATTCACCTGAGGCAGAACAAAGGGGATAGAAATGACCAGAGGCTGGGGGGGCCTGTTTGTAAACGGGGAAGGTGAGGATGTCTGGGGACATAGGGAATTTTCTCCCTTTTTGGTAACCGTGCCTGGTTGTAAGGAGCCCATTGGTCCATTAGGGCCTATGGCTATTTCAAGGTGGGTTGCCTGATGGGCCTGTCTGTGTTCGGCCAGGGCCTCGTGCTCTGATCAAGTTTCCGTGGCTCAAGCCTGTTGCCTAAAAGCGGCCTCTTCATAAATTTGTGTAGGACTGTTTTCAGAAAGTAAATCAAATGGATTGTGTTTTTAATGTGCACTACCAAATGTGTCTGGACAAACTACACCTGAAGATTGTTCTTGGGTGGCTCAGTCGTTAAGCATCTGCCTTCGGCTCAGGTCATGATCCCAGGGTCCTGGGATCGAGCCCCACGTCGGGCTCCCTGCTCCACGGGAAGCCTGCTTCTCCCTCTCCCTCTCTCCCTGCTTCTTCCTCTCCCACTCCCCCTGCTTGTGTTCCTTCTCTCGCTGTGTCTCTCTCTGTCAAATAAATAAATAAAATCTTTAAAAAGGTGGGGGGCAAATATATTTAAAAGGCTGTAGGATTTGGATCATTGGTGATGCTGGAGTTGATGTTTACTGCACACCCTGCAATCCCATCAAAAGTTTAGTAAGGTCATAAAAGTTGTTGCTTCAGCTTGAATTCCCTGGTGCCCATATTTTGGTCTCCAAAGCCATCATTTCCTCTAAAAGGAATGAAAAAGCTGGTGGTGCCAGATCCTGGCTCCAGGTCAGGAGATGAGGACAGGTGAGTCTGGAGATGCTCTTCATGAGCAGTGGAGCTCAGGGGCCTGCTCACAGCCTACCCCACTGCCCAAAGACAGGACAGTGTGAGAATTAATTAGGATAACCACTGCAGTAAATTGAAATATGTCTGTTTAAGTCCATGAGTTCAACATGCTTTTTAAAAACCACAAAACTAGGTAAATACTTGGAGGATGCTTAAGAGGCAAATGAAAACCATCACAATGTATGGGCCTTACTTAGATCCTGATTCAAGCAAACTAGTTAAGTAAAATTTATAGCAAGAGAGAGTTGGACACTTGAACACTGACTAGATGCTTGTGATAGCAAGGAATTATTGTTAATTTAATTTAGCTGTCATAATGGTATTTTTAAGAAAAATAAAGTCCTTTGATGACACACTGAAATCATATTTTAGATTTGCTTCCCAATGAATGCAGGAGTGGGTGATGGGTACATGGAGTATATATACCATTTCAGGCTACTTATGTATTTAACTTTTCCTTTTTTTTTTTTTTTAAAGATTTTATTTATTTATTTGAGAGAAAGAATGAGAGAGAGAGCACATGAGAGGGAGGAGGGTCAGAGGGAGAAGCAGACTCCCTGCCGAGCAGGAAGCCCGATGCGGGACTCGATCCCGGGACTCCAGGATCATGACCTGAGCCGAAGGCAGTCGCTTAACCAACTGAGCCACCCAGGCGCCCTGTATTTAACTTTTCCTTAATAAAAAAGTTGAAGGGGCTCCCAGCTGGCTTAGTCGGTAGAGCATGTGACTCTTGATCTCAGGGTCGGGAGTTCAAGCCCCACGTTGGGTGTAGAGATTACTTTAAAAAATTAATAAACTTAAAAAAGGGGGGCCGTTGTCTGTTTAGTAACATTTAACAAAAAAGGAAAGTTGAAGAAGAATTAACTTAAATTTGGACCCATGGAGATTTATAAAAAGCATTTAAAAATTGACACATTTTTTTTCCTCATGATGAAGGTACCAAATTTTAAATACGTGTTTTTCCTTTCTTTTAGGGTATTATAGATCTCTCTATTTGTTAATTAACAGCAAGCTTCCATCAAGTATTGAATATTCTGATTTATCTCGAGTTCCTATAGCAAACATTTTGCTAGAGAATGTTCTGAAACCATTGCACTTTACTTACAACTCCTGTCCAGAAGGTGCAAGGTGAGGATGGGATAATTTACTGATTTTGTAAGTTCACAGGTTCTGTATCTGACAATAACTTTTACATGGATGCTATTTTACATAAAGACTTAAAAGTCAAATTTTTACTTTATTAATGTGACTTAGTTTAAAGAAAAGTTTTACTATTTCTGTTTGGCCTGTACCCTAATATAAATTTATAATTCTGATGGTCTGGTTATTTTCCTGTCTTCTATTGAAAGATATAAAAACATGGTAGAGTTTTCTTAATAGGGAATACACAAAATCAGTTAATTTCAAGGCAGTTTAGTTGATACTGAATGCTTAACTTCAATTAATTTACAAAAGAATATTTTGTAAGTTAATTTTAATCAGTGATTTTATGAACAATATGTTTCGATAAAAGCTTCCATTTTTCTTTCAGGCAGCAAGTTTTTAGCGCCTTCACTGAGGAGTTGTTGGCAGCACCTTTTACAGATCAGATTTTTCATTTCATCATTCCAGCCTTAGCGGATGCACACACTGTTTTCCCTTACGAGCCCTTCCTGAGTGCACTGTTGTTACTGGAGAGCAGGTGCTCCAAGACAAGCAGTGGGGCACCATGGCTCTTCTTCTTTGTCTTAACTGTTGGCGAGCATTACCTGGGTATGAGATAAAAGACGTGTTTTACTTGAACTCATATATACATAGTACTGGCAGATAGAAGTCATAAGAGAAGGGAATCCAGTGGCAGGCAGGTGTATGTTGTCAAGGTGGCCCCTGGTGGGGTGGATGGATTTCTTGTAAGAGTGTATTTGCTGAAGGTCTGTGTCCTAGACAGTGGGGAAAGTTTCTAAGCACATACAAAAGTCCCTGTTCAGCGACGCCTGTCTGGCTCCATCAGTGGAGTATGTGACTCTTGATCTCCGGGTTGTGAGTTTGAGCCCCACCATGGGTGTAGAGATTACTTAAAAAAAAAAAAAAAAAAAAAAAAAAGGCCTGATTCAGATACATGTTACAAGGCCACACAGATTAAAAAATTTTAAAGTTGCATGGGAGAACTGAGTGCAGGGTTGTTATCCCCATTTATGCTCAACTTTGAATGTGTGCCTATTCTAGAACTACAGCATCTCTCTCTGATGTATTTTAATACATACATCTGTACATGAGCTATTAGAATTTTGATAATAAGTTGTGGTCAGAAATGTCTCTCTGAATATAAGGAAAATGATACCTGAGTTTTCTAGTTTCCGTTTGAGCATTTCTAATGAAATACTACAACTGACTGTTTTACAAAGGGACCCTCTCTGAGGAAGGACTGCTGGTGTATTTAAGGGTACTCCAGACCTTTCTCTCTCAGCTACCAGTTTCACCTGCCGGCACGAGCTGTCAAGATTCGGCCAGTGACTCGGAAGATGAGGGTGAAGCGGCAGACAAGCAGCCGAGCGCTCCGGTAAGCTCCAGGGGGCCTGGGGGTCAGCGAATGAATTACACTGCGTATCACTCTGTCTGATTTTGAAGTCACTTTTAACTTTGTGTCCGTCCTTATTTTTAGCTATATAAGTAATACATGAAAGCGTTCTAGTTGTAAAGCATTCAGACTGCAGATGAAGTCCCCTCCCTTCCTCAGCCACTCTGTTCTTTCCAGAGATGACCCTCCTGGCGACTGGGGATTGGGATGTTCTTCCACACCTTCTCCTGCCCATCCATAGAAGTATATGTGGGGGTACATAGTTATGTGGGTTTTTTATGCAGAGTAGGCCATGCTGTATATTAATTTGTTACTTGGGAAATTTTCCTAGAAGTGAAATTGTTGAGTTAAAAGGCTCATAAGTTCCTAGTTCTCAGGAAGCGCATTCACTGTGTGCCACGCATTTGTTCTGTTTTTAAGAATTTTTTATAGCAACTTTATTGAGATACACTTTACCATAAAATTCGCCCTTTTAAAGTGATGTACAGTTGAGTGATTTCTCAGTATATTTGCCTAATTGCAGCCACCACCACTCGGGTAGAGCATTGTCTGCACAGAAACCCGCTCCCATCAGCAGCCACGCCCTCCCCTTCTCCCAGCCTCAAAGGGAAAAAAGGTTTTCTTCCTTACCCTATCTTGTAGACACCAAGTAATGTCTCCTGTTAATTTTTGGCAGTTTTGTGGATGACAAATGTTAGATTTATTAGAAAATGAATATTGAGTTTATTGTAACGTATAAGCATGGTTTGCTGTGTATTTTCAAGGAATAAAAAGCTTTGCATTATACACATACATAATTTGTGTGTCTTCAGTGACATATCTGCTGATTTTTCTCTTAATTACACAATTGAAATAACTTGATATAAGGCTGACATGGGTTTAAATATTTTTTTTGTTAGGAAATTTCCCACTGATTAATACTAAGTCCAATCCCAGGAAGAATACACTCCAGAGTGGCTCAGGTTTTCCAGGGGACGTAAATCTTTAGGATCTTGTGAAGTGAAAGGATGTGTTAGTACTGTGCCTTCTGATACAAATAGCTTCATTAGCAGAGATGAAAAAAGTCATAACAATAAGAAAAAACAGATGAGTCATTGCCCCTTACAGCTAGGGGAAGGGCTAGTTACAAAGGGGCAAAACTGAATGTTTTGGTGGAAGCTGGAAGTCTTGGATCTGTCAGAATTCAGAACTGCACATAAAAATGTGAATTTTTTATGTGGTAAAAAAAAATGGGATTCTGTAGATGGAATGTAGATAAAACTTTTGTTTTTAGAAGACACTTTTTTAATGCTTAATTACCTTCTAGAGAAGCTGTGAAATTATAATGTTTATACACAATATAATTTGTGTCCACGTGAAAATGAGGCTCTGGGCTGCGTCTGCTGGAGAGATGTTAGGAAGTCCCTTCTCACTGTGGACACAAACAGAAGAGCAGAATATTTGACACAGGAAACAAAAGAATGCCCAGGCTCACTTGCTTGTGGTTACACTGCTTAGAACATACAAAAAGTGCAGGTTGTCTCCCTCTCTGATTTTATTTTTTTCTTTCCCTTCCCCTATGTTCATCTGTTTTGTTTCTTAAATTCCACGTATGAGTGAAGTCATGTGACATAAGAGGCTCTTAATTCTAGGAAACCTATGAGGGTTGCTGGCGGGAGGGAGGAGGGGGATGGGGTAACTGGGGGATGGGCATGAAGGAGGGCATGTGATGTAATGAGCACTGGGTGTTATTTAAGACTGATGAATCACTGACCTCTACCCTAGAAACTAATAATACGCTATATGTTAACTAAATTGAGTTTAAATTAAAAAAAATTTTTTTTTAAAGCCCATAAAACTATTGGAGAATATGGCTTAGAACTTTTATTTTGAAGTTTCTAAATGTAAGCCTTTGAAGTGTGAGCCATTGCATGGGCTAGGCATCCCATAAAGTCATTAAAATTTTTTTTGACAAACTGCAAAAAAAAAAAAAAAGTGCAGCTTAATTTTGTTACTTATATTTTTGGGAAATTTTACTCCACTTTCTTTTTCTTCCTTAATATACAAGAGTTTCAAGGTCTGTGTTACTAGAATTATATGACATGGTACTTTTGTTTCTCTTTTTCATTTTTTTCTCTTCATTTTTCCCTTGCATTGTTTATCATCTCTCCCTTCTTGTCCACATTTGGGTTCAGAACCAGTGACCCAGTAGTAGGCCAGGTACTCAACAGGTTTGACTCAAAATCTTTTCTTTATTTTTCAGTCAGATCTTTTGATGACTGCTTATATATTGCCTTTTATTTCCTATGGGAATTATGTAGACTTTAATTTGATTGAATGAGATTTTCCAGAGTCAAATTTCACTGTTTATAAACTCTTAGGTTTCTATATAATCAGTTTAGTTATTGTTTGTGTATAATTTATTTTAAATATGTACACTACAAAAATAGTACCAATGTAGTCTTTTCCTAACTCCTTTTATTAGGTGCATCTTATTTACAGATTCGAGTTTGACAGATAGAATTTATTACTTTTATCTAAAGCAATGTTTTGATAGATTATTATAAGTTACATAAATTATATCCATTTAAGTTTCCAAACAATGTAGTCAGCAATACCCAGTGTTGTGTATATATATTCATATTTATATATACTTAGATATATATATATACGTATATGAAAAAAGTATGTATCTTTGGTTAATACCCCAAATAGGTAAATGCATAGTGTCTTAGTTCAGGTTTTATTCGGTGAATCAGATCTTTAGAGAAATTAAGATATAAAATATATCTCATTTGTTTTTCTAAAAATAAATTATTTAATATTTTTGCTTAAACTGTAATCTCCCAAATAATTTAAAATGGAAATTCTGCTAGATGGTAACATATTCCCACCCATGTATGCTTAGTACAATGGTGTCTAAAAATACGAAATTAATTTTTCTTAAAATGTCAGTACTGAAATATTGTCAGATCAGTAGGCAAAAACTGAGTATTTACAGTCCCTGTGGTGTTAATGCTGGATAAAATTGGTGCCTAATATAGATAGTGACTATGGAACTCTAGAGAATTTCGTATTACTTTAATGGATGCATTTGGAGAGATATTGATTTGTCCATTGTGATGTGGGTAACTTTTAGATAATGCCTACTTTTTATTTTCACTTGAAGTAAGATCACATTTCATGTGTGTGTGTGGTGTAGCGGGTCATTTGTAATAAAACGTCATTAACTCAGAGCAATTTATGTGGTGTGTTTTAGGAGGATGGTAGGCTCTCAGTACCATACATAACAGAGGAGTGTCTGAAGAAGTTGGACACGAAGCAGCAGACCAACACCCTGTTAAACCTGGTGTGGAGGGACTCAGCCAGCGAGGAGGCCTTTACTCTGATGGCATCAATCGGCCACACGCTTATGGTGCAGCATCGGATGGTGGTGCCCAAAGTCAGGCAAGTGTTGTTGGGCACTCCGTGAACCATGCAGTGTGCCTCCCCACTGTGCTTTTTTCCGGCTTCCTCTGTAACAGTTGTAGCTGCCACTTTCTGATAGAATATGATAGAGGATATTCAACTGTTCAAGCACATCATGGAGAATGAAAGTTGGTTTTTCTTTTCTAAACCTACTGATACTGTTTGAATCCATTTTCCTGGGCTGTCATGTATTAAATGAAATAAGCTCATTTTTCTCGAGTATCTTGGAAATGAGAGTGGAGTTTAGTCCTAGCCACCTTTTGAAACATTGGACTCATGCCTGGGTTATAGAACCAATATGTTACATATCTTTTAGGCTTTCCCACAGCACTCTTTTTATCAGATCGCCCTCGACAGTTTAGCACTCTGAAATTTTTGCCTTTCAGAACTTTGGAATAAACTTTTGAAAGAGACAAAACAAAACATACATGTTAGAATGTGGCTTATTTGTATTGAAGTAAGTAAGTGTGACCATAATGTTGAACTATTTTTAAATAGTTTAGTGGTTTCTTGAGAATTGGACATATTTAACAGGGTATGGTGCAAAGATACGTAGTGGTTCTAGGAGGAATGAAGGGACTGATGTTATATAGGCATCCTGCTGAAAGGCACTGTCTCTTGATGTCCTGTGTTATGTCAGATGATTTATGTTACCCCAAAGAATCCTCTTGTTTTTATAAAATGCTATCCTATAACATGAAAAGAGCTGTTTCTTTTGGTTAGGAAAGCATTCTTTGAACCGAACTGTATGCAGAGAACACATCACCAGCTGAAACCGCCTTGTAAACACTAATGCAGCCCACTAATCAGGTGCTATCTTAGCGCCCTGGTGTTTATTACTGTTGGAGGAAGTAAGATGTCAGTGGAACTGTGATCCCTCGATTAGGTAATTAGCTCTCTGTAGGCTAATTGCATTAGGGCAGGATGTGAGATCTCAGGATCATAGCAGCTCAGCGAGGATACTTGCTTTTATTGTAGCACAAAGTCCATCCCTTTGGATAGTAATTACTGGAGTTAAACGCATCACTGCCCTGGTCTGGGGTTCACTAGTGAACTGTTTCCAAAAGGTGTTTAATGGGTAAAGGAGCTTTATATGGAACCTTGATTTTATGAGTACTGCACCTATTTCCTCTAAGAAACTACTCCAGGAATTTTATTTATGGTTTAAATATATTAGGTTTTAAGTATCTAGAATGTTTTTCATAGCTCATGAAAGCAGGTACTCTTTAAGTGTGGTTGATTTTCACTGCTTTCAAGTTTGTTTTTGTTTTGTTGTTTTAAGGTATTTAAAAGATGATTAATAAATTCCAGGGCTGACAACTCGCTATCAGTGCCTCCAGGCTCATACAAATCCCTCTTACTTTCATGGTTGGGATTTGCAATTTTAATTATTATTATTTCTTCTTTTTCTTCTTCTTCTTCTTCTTCCTCTTCTTCTTCTTCTTCTTCAGATTTATTTATTTATTTTAGTGGGGGGAGAGGCAGAGGAAGCGTGAGAATCTTATGCAGGCTTCACACTGAGTGCAGAGCCCGACTCGACTGGGGGCTTCGATCCCAGGACCCTGAGATCATGACCCGAGCCAAAATCAAGAGTCAGATGCTCAACTGACTGAGCCACCCAGGTGCCCCTGCAATTTTGATTTCTGTTTAACATTGATTGTCAGGATGTATAAAGGAACATGGAGACCCTTTTTACATTGATATGGAAAGAGTTCCAAGATAACATGTTTAAGTGAAAAATAGGAAGTTACAGTACAATATGAATAATAACCTACTTTTGTGTCAGACTGGTGGAAAAAGTAGGAATGTATGTTTGTATTGGCATAAAAAATCTTGGACACATACACAGAAAATTCATAGAACTGATTATTCACATGTCTGGCTGTGCTGGGGAGGTCAAGAGTAGAGGAGAGTGTGGACTTCTCACTGTATTTTTTCTTAATGATTTTTATTTATTTATTAGAGAGCGCATGAGTTGGGGGGAGGGGCAGGGAGCCTGAAGCAGGGCTTGACCCCAGGACCCTGGGATTATGACCTGAGCTGAAGTCAGATGCTGCTCAACTGACTGAGCCACCCAGGTGCCCTTCAGTGCATGTTTTTTGATATGGTTTTGAGTTTCAAATCATGTGAATTACTTAAATTTTAAAAAATTAAGTAATAAATGAGTTGCCAGCTCCTTTTATTTTTTTTTCCCTAAAGATTTTATTTATTTATTTGACAGCTAGAAAAAGTACAAGCAGGGGGAGAGGGAGAAGCAGACTCCCCACTGAGCAGGGAGCCCGATGCGGGGCTCGATCCCAGGGCCCTGGGATCATGACCTGAGCCGAAGGCAAATGCTTAACCTACTAAGCCACCCAGGCGTCCCAGCCAGCTCCTTTTTTTTTTAAAGATTTTATTTATTTGACAGAGAGAGCATGAGAGGGGGGAGGGTCAGAGGGAGAAGCAGACTCCCTGCTGAGCAGGGAGCCCG